TGTAGCAGCGCAGCGCAGCGCAGCGCAGCGCAGCGAAGGGCTGCGCTGCTGGCTTCCTCCAAGTTTACAGTAAAACAAACTGGTGGTGTGACCAATGGCCATTTACAATTGTTAATACTATTACTATTATTAGCATTAGTCTATATTTTGGTTGAAACTAAGCCAGGAAAAAAAACAAAAACATAAATAATAATAAAAAAATATATAAATAAAATCGATTTTTAAAAATAATTTTCGATTATGGAGACTCTAACGAATATTCGAATAATCGAATAATCGCTGGCATCCCTAGTATCAACGACATGAATCATAAACCATGCTGTCATATCTTTTAATATTAATCAGAGTATTCTTGTTGTAGTATCTTTGTTGTTGTAACTGACTTTTCTCAGCTGGTTATTCCTACAATATTAGTTTTAACAAAGGTTTGGCAGCTAAACCAGAGGTCATGATTTGAAAAAAAAACAAACATAGAAATGTCTAACTGGCAACTAGCATGTGATGATATTCAATCCTGGAGCGTCAGTGTTCAAGGGGAGTACTCTTATGACCACATGATGTACTCATAACCTACGGATAATAAAAATGTAGCGTTGGTAACCTGAAATGGATTACAAAGAACAATGGTGTTTGCAAAACAAATGAGTCAATCAAGTGCAATTCTAACCTTTTAAATAAGAAACAAACTAGGCGTAATAATTATGAGTATTCGTTGCGGAGATTATATTATTTGCAATTCTTAAGTATGATGCCTAGATGCTAACGGTTTGACCTTAGTATTGGCATTGAAGTTTCACTCGAGTCAAGCATCTGTTTAACTGAAAGATAAATATGCGGCGATGTTTGGAAATCCCAGAAGGTTGTTTGACAAAATGTGAAGATATTTTTTAGTACTCTTTTGACCATCTGGATGAAAAATATTATGTCTGCAAATTATTTTTAACTTACTTTAACTAAAAAAGTTGAATCTCCTAATCAAAACAAAGATGGTTGTTATGAGCATGGGTAGACAGGATTTTAAGGTTACACTGTTTTTAAAGCCATAAGTGATTATAAGATCAGAATCAAAAATCAAGATCATTATTTAAATGTTCTCATGTTGATACATTGCATATTTTCTCATCTGATACGGTGCACACTTACACTCACCGAGCTTGAGTCGCTGCTTCGGAAAATGGTACTGTTCTTCTTTTCCTCCATTTTTCCCATAAAGCCAGCAGTCTGAAATGTGGAGCTGTCTAAGTGCGGGCAGGGACTCTATTCAGCCTTCTCCAAAGCTTTTAGATGGCCATTAAATCATCAGTGAAGTGCAGACAGTAACACAAGAGACCATCAGATGAGCAGCGTGTTTGGACTATTAGTTGGCGCTAGTACAAAGTAAGAAGAAACCACGAAAACATCAGCAGGTCATTGGGCTTTGCTTAGTTGTGTCTGCCTTGGCTTGTATGCATCATGACATTCCTTGAAGGTGCCACTTTCAATGACAACTTTCTCATGATTTGTTCAGTTTTAAATTGGGACCTGTCAGCTCTAGAGAAGCCTGTCACATCAAATGTGTACTCATGACGCCAGAACCCTGTCTGAGTTGCTTCATGTTCTGTTTGCAAGATGTTGTGTAACAAATCTGAACTTGCTAACCCGAATTAGGCGTGGAGTAAGAGAGACATGGGTGGGTCTATCCATGAAATAATTCACTGGTACAGGTTTTCTACATGTTTAAAATTCTATTTGACGGAACAGACCAGGTTTTCTGGATTAAAACTGAGTCATACATTGAATGTTTTAAATACGCCTTATTTGTTATGACTGTTTAATGGAAAATGTGCCTTGTGGCAGTGTGTGTGGGTCCATGATCCTTCAAGTACATTTTATAATGTAACAATGCTTCCATTTTATTATACGAAAGTACTCCTAAAGTACATAACAATTTTAATAATATCATATTTGATCTCATGAATATCCGGTTAATGGGATGGACTTTTGCTTTACATTTTTTGATATACCTAAGATCCTTTAATCCTGTCTGTCACATTTTAAAACCTCAAAACACAGTTAGCAAAACATCTGTCTTTTGGTTACCATACCATGAAAACAACCCATTCGTTTTCCCAGAATATGCGATGTTAACACACTTCTAAAATGCTTACATTTTCTTTACAAGCTTACCTAATAGCAAAGTGATGTTTATTCCTGGTCTTTTTTACAAGTGCCTCCACACAGCCTGCCAGAATTGAAAGTCCAGCGTTCAAAACCTTCAACAGTAGATAAACCATCTGCTTCTGCAGCTACAGCAGCTCAAAGCTATATTGAAAGGGCTTCATAATTGTTGAGTTACTAGCTGAACAGATCATTGAAACATTAAGAAAGAACTGCTATACTGAATTGTATAAAATAAATCAACAACAGCTGATTCCAATCTCAGTCGGAGACATAGGTTGAAGTTATTTTTTATTTAAAGGGGACCTATCATGCAAAATGCACTTTTGTACGTCTTTTATACATGAATATGTGTCCCCGGTGTGTCAGGGAACTCACCAAGTGTCAGAAAACACAACCCTCTCTCTGTTCGTCCATACCCAAATCTCTAAAAACGGGGCTGCAACGGATCTGATACAGACTGATCCAGATTTGAA